TTTTCTCCACGCCCCATCGTCTTCTCTCCTAGGCCCAAATATCCTCCTCAACACCCGATTCTCAAACACCTGCAATCTGTGTTCCTCCCTCTGAGTGAGAGACCATGTTTCGCACCCATACAAAACAACAGGCAAGATTATTGTTTTGTATACTTTAATTTTCAGGTTCTTAGAAATCAGACGGGAAGACAAAATATTTTGGACTGAGAAGTAGCAAGCATTTCCGGAATTTAGTCTCCTCCTAACTTCCTCACAAGTATCATTTTGATTTGTTATTGTTGTTCCCAAATATTTGGACTTTGTAACCCTTTCAAAGGATTTATTAGCTACCCTAAGATAATTTTGCCCGCCTGTCTTCTGATGACGAGATACTAACATGTACTTAGTTTTTTCTGAATTTACTTCCAGCCCCACTTGTCTACCAGCCTCTAGTAAACCTTCTGCGTTCCTCTTTATTGTATTTATATCGTCCCCCAATAAATTACCATCATCAGCATATGCCAATAGCTGATGTGTCCCATTCAATTGCAAACCCTCCTGCCTACCTTGGACCTTCCTGATGGCGTATTCTAGCGCAAAGTTAAAGAGCAAGGGAGACAAAGCATCTCCTTGTTTTAGACCGTTCTTGATGAGGAATGTCTCAGATACATATTTACCTACTCGAATTTTGCTACAGGTTAATTATCAGCCTACCCAATTTATGCTTCTATCTCATTGGATAGCAGCCTGTTCTTCCACTCCACCAATCAGCACCGCCAAATCCAACTTGCTACCTAATGTCTGCCCTATATAAGGTTTCCAAAAGTGCTCAATGACAGGTTAATTATCATCCAAACAGTACAAATTGGTTATTCAGGAAAGCATCCACATCGGAAGCAGAAGGGGTTGGCGCTCCATCTTGTTGCAATAGTATACAGTTTAGAAGGCGCATATTATCAATTCTTCGAATAAGCGATCAGACAACAGTTCCAGTCACAGACAAATAAAAGAAACATGTTCGAATAATTAGTTCAATTTTGACTTGATCTCGCTTCTTAAAATAATTGTGGACTTTTTTACTCCGTATATAAATATTTTCAGGCCCTGTACTAAGATATCACACATCACATAGAGATTCTTGGAATCACATATCATTTCTTCAGATTTTCTGGCTGATCCAAGATCTGACACCTCTAAACAATGACAACTGCATCTAAATATTTCTGTGATCTTCCATTTTGTTTTGCAACTAACAAAGAACTGGTTAGTATCGCTTTTTTTCCAACCTGCTTCAAGGCCAAGTCAATTCTCTACTCAGACAGGCATAAATGGAACTCAGAAAAGACAAAATGTTTACTTTACGCAACACACGACCAAAAAATATTGAACGTGCTAAGACCAAAATTACTATGGCAAGTACCATACAAATGTCTCTTCCCCACTCCAAGCAGGAACTGCAAGAGTAACTACAAAGAGTTACAAGACTTTCCTGATATGAGACAAGTACTGTTCTGTAACCGTCCGCAACGCTGCAAGGGCGAGCTGGCCGAAATTCGTCAAAAACAAAGGATCGGCTGTAAAGTAAGAAAGTAGGGGGAGGACTCGCATGTGGTCCCTTTTTTTGTGGGGGAGAAAGCCAGCAGCAAGGAGTGGTGTTCAGGAAGGGTGTCTGGGCAGTTGCAGAGGAGTCGTGGAAAGTTTCTTGAAGGTAGAGGTTGGGACGTTTGTGGGCTGGTGTTTTGAAATAAATACATAATAAAGGTATTATTGGAGTAACAGTGAATCATTATCCGTTCGTCATACATCCGATCCCCGTGTACGACCCTGAGTACCCGAGCTAGCCGAGGCAAACGAATAACCAAGGACGGTTATAGTTCCATAAAAAAAGTATATAAACTTATCTGTTATAAGGCATACTGAAAACGTGAACGCAAACACACACACAAATTTTCCGTTTCGTAGCTTTGGCTGCTGATAATTTGAAATTGCCTGTCTTGTACAAGGCAGTGATTTCGGTTGTGTATATTCTTGCCTAGCCCCTATTTCATCTTGTTTTTCTTCAGTAGGCACACAGCATTTTCAGCAGGTTCCTTATGCCGATGTAACCCTGTTGACCTGACTTTCTTAATAAGTTTACGGAAGTCTGTTGTGTTTAAAACTCTGATCCTGGGATATTCCTATTAACATTTTCTCAAATACTTTTTAGGGGAACCATATTTCACAGACTTACCGTAAATGCTGTAGTTGGCTGGCGTTGCACCTGCTCTTCTTCTGACGATGTCTCGGACTCAGAATCTGAGCCGGTAGCAAAGAATCGGCTGCTGCTCATGTTTCAGGTTTCAAAACACCAGCTAACAACAAATATGAAATTTGTGTCAAGCAAACCTCATTCTCGAATTACAAAACCAAACGCGTTAACAACTTTTTCAAATCCCTGTTTAAACTGAAAACAATATGGTATATTTGCCTTCACAAAAAATTATATACAAAAGGTTACATCTGTCGAATAATTCTACAAAATCTGAAATTAACACAATACTCACATTGGGAATGAATTTATACCTCGCGACACGCTAAGAAAGCTTATGGCGACTAATCACACCACAAATTCAGAATCAGCAATGGTTATTCACACATATGCACAGATAATACCAACATCAAGAACAGTTGAAAGTACCAAAACATGTGGCCTGTGACGTCATGTATATAGTGTACTGCCATCTATCCAAAAGTTATAATACTACTACAAGAGCGATCTGGTGGTAATAATTCGTATTGAAACATGATTCAAGCTACTTACATGACCTGAGTTGGTAACAACGTTCACTACTATCTGACTTCACACTCAACCTTTACCCCCCACTTCCTCTATATAACAGTTAATTTTAAGAATCTGAAGACACCAACACATCGTGCCGTATGTCCTTCTGCTGTATCACATTCATAATAGTGTAGTTGGGTTCATCTGTTGTATGATCAGTGAGTTTTGGTCTCCAGTGACATTATAAAAATAGCATGTGTCACAGATTACATTTCACAAAACGTTCAAAATGTACAGAGAATTTATAATGAAAAATCGGTTTTAATATTATCGTCATATATATGTCCAAGTTTCTCAACATGTCATCTTATCTTTAAGTTTTCTAACTAAAATATATACATTTCCATGCTTCATAATAAATGCTACAAGTCCCAGTTATCTCACTCTCTTTAATTTGATCACCATAATAATATTTGGAGAATATTATTCCTTTAGCTTATGCTTGCTTAATTCCACCCCCACCCCCAATACTTTCCTCAAGAACACATGTTCTTCACTTGGAGTGAGAGGCCAAGTTTTGCACCTGCATAAACAGGTAAAATGTGAATTCTTCAATGTAGTGTTTAAAACAGTGAAACATGTTTGTTCTTCAAGTTACTTGAATTCATGTCAGAAAGAATACTTTCCAGTTGAATATGAATATAATGACGTGGCATTCATACAGACTATTTGTTTATACATACATACATACATACATCTTTATTACATTCCATGGATCCATAAGTTAGTCAGATGACAATAGGATGTAGAATAAGTCATAATAATACAATACATGTTATACAAATACAAGTCATATAAATGTCACAAAAATACAAACAAAGGATTCACATGAAGTAGAGATAAGTTACAAATAAATCCACCCATTATATACAATAGATAAATTACGACTTGTAAACATTAGAAATTCATCGACAGAGTAAAAGGAGTGTGTAATTAAGTATCTTTTCAATGCTGGTTTAAATTGTGCCTTTTTATTTACAAGACTTGTGAGATTTGATGGTAGACTGTTGAAAATTTTGATCCCTGCATAATATGCACTCTTCTGAAAGCATGAGAGGTTGGCAATTGGTCTTTGAAGCTGAATTTTATTCCTTGTGTTGACACTGTGTATAGCAGAATTAGTTTGAAAGAGTTCTTGGTTATTTACAATAAAGTTCATTAATGAGAATATGTATTCACATGGAAGAGGTAAGATTTCTAACCTCTTAAATAGACTTCTACATGAATTCCTAGGTTTTACACCAGCCAATAATCTAACAATTTTCTTTTGTAAAGTGAATATCTTTTTGATCTTTGATGAATTTCCCCCCAAAAATATTCCGTATTTTATTAAAGAGTGAAAATAGGCAAAATATACTGATCTGAGTGTGTCAGTGTTGCTGACATGCAACAGAGATCTAACTGCGTAACATACGCCACTTAACTTAGGTATCAGTTTATCAATATGATTAGTCCAATTTAGGTGATTATCAATTTGCAAACCCAGTCATCCTGTAATTTTCCATTCAGTGTTGTATAACTTATGCAGTGAACAAGTTGTTCTTAAATTATTAAACAGAAACAAAATCACTTGGAAACAAAATACAAAATAAAATCTGTTGAACCTTCAAGTTCTTAAGAAGTTCATAATTTTGTATCCCAAACAAAATGTTCTTTCTAACTGGGTTCATCATGCCTGTGCGTCATGTGACATTGTCCAGTATAGTCAGCAAGGCATTCTTTGTATGACCAGTTCATAAGATATTTTGTAATTGGTATGTTCCAAAAGATGAAAGTCTTAACTTTCTATTAAATTTTTCATTAATTCTTAATCATGATATGGAAGTTAAATATCCAATGAAAAGATTATATTTTAGAATACCCATAATAGGCTAACTAGGATTAATATGGTAAATGATTATGATAGTCATGAGGATGTTGGTTATATAAAATTCATACTTAAGGACAAAAGTTGACAGTGGAACCATGGTACGTCTCTGTAATGCAATGAAATATAATGTAATGAAATGTAATATAATAATATTATATAAGATACATACTTGTGATATTCTAAAACTTTTTAACAGCATAAAATTATCTAATCTACGATGCACTTCTTCTAAAAGCGATTCACAGCTCAGCTCTTTCCGGAATCACGAAAGCGGATTGTTGATGTTTATTTTTATTTGTAGTGTTCTGTCTGACGACAGGTCCATATATTATGAACAGGATCCTTCCAACCTCTTCAGGTTGTCAGGGACCTGCTCATACATATATACATTCTTGGCAGAGATGATCAGAAGTGGTTTGCCATTGCCTTCTTCTGTGTGTGAGTGGAGTAATTGTTGGGATGCCACGGAGAAACCGGGGAAGCCCCCGGAGGAAAACTCTGTGATGCCTAGACCACGGCCTTGCCCAACACAAGTTATATTTTTGAGCACCACCGGGAATTGAACCCGGGACCCCAGGCTTACAAGGCTAGTGTTCTGACCGCATTGTTGATGACAGTAATTAAACACAACAATGCCGAGTAAACAGATGACATAACAATGCACGCAAGCTGACCATTGTTGTCGGTCCATATTTACACATTGTTGATATGGATCTTACATGTTAGGTAACAACAATGCCGAGTAAACACGACGTTCCATAGGTATCCATTGTTGTCAATTTGTTGATACGGATCTTACACATTTTCCTTTCACTTTTTTGCCGAATGACCCTTCCGTATAGACGTATTTACGTCAAAATATTAACTGTGGAACTGTGAATTTTACAGTTAAATTTATTATGGACAGAACCAAGAACCTTTAGGTATTTCATTTTTATGGAGTAATCAGACTCCACTGTACTTGAAATTCTTTGCACTACACTCTATAATAATTAAATGTAAACTGTTTCAGATAAAAGTTAAAGACCTCAGTTTGAGATGAACATTTTGTTGTTGTGTGAAGAGTGCACCAACAGTTAGATTATACCTGCAGTCAGCACAGACTCAGTCTGCAACTAGTTTATACATCTCTTCAGTTTCAACTTTTAATTTTACCATTGAATTAAATCATCATCATCAAATTTTATGTATTGGGTCTTGTAGCCTGTTCCAATTTAGAATTACTTCTGAAATTATGAATCTGTTTAGACATTTAGCAGGGCTCCTTGGATGGGTGATCAGCCCATCACCAGCCACGATCTACACAGGACATCACAACACATCAAGATAATGACGAAAATTCATGCTTTGAACAGGATTTGAACTTATGATTGATTGATTGATTGATGTCAGCAAATGTAATTTACATTAATAAATTTTCAAATAAGTCCTTCAGCTTTTCACCAAAAACATTTGCAAAATGCAGAAAAAGCACAGTTTCTTGTTCTTTAAAAAAATATTCTGATATATGACACTTGGGAGTTTGACAACTAAGTTCATCAGAAATCCTACAGATGGAACACAACGTACCGTCATGAGACAACCCATCGACGTCACACGAAGATGGACATGGTGTGTGAGATGTCCTGTTGGAAACACTGGGTAAAGAATAAAAATAAAGAATATGCAAAAGTAAATTTATATGAGTATTTATTGTAGGATTTTAAATTTCAGTAATAATCTGTCAATCTGCAGAACGTACAATTATGGAATGCTCCGATTTCTTACAACAAAACAAAATTCAGTTTCAAATTAAAACAACATTAAACACTGTTTATTTTTCTTGTCACTTATACCAATCCATATCAGGATACAAATATGGCTGTCTTCCGAGTTGTAGGACTGCGTAGTCTAGGAGAAGTAGGGCTCATCGCCCTGATGATAGAGGCGGCAAGGACCTCTGAATTTTTGGTAAACTTCTACCAGACTACATAGTGCCTCGAACCCAGAAGACAGTCATCTTCATGCTCACTGCTGTGAGAACTTCAAATCCTACATATCAGGGCAGTTTGAGCGTAGCCATTAATTTGCCATCTGTGTAAGCTAAGGGGGTAAAAATACTGTACGACATTCTGTCTTTCCTAAATTGCCATCCATGTTACATATCTCCACTTCACTTTCAAACTGATATTTTTGTCAAAACTGTATTTGTATAAATATAATGAAATAAAATCCCAGCATGCTTTTATACACTGTCCCCGTAAATAATTCCCTCAGCGTTAATATTTTTAATGTTTTGGATTCTTAAAAAGGTAGAACTATAGATTCTAGCACAAATATTAATCCCAATAAATCATTATGTAATGTTAAAATTGATAAATAAATTTTACAGCTTTCACTAAACTCTTATCACAAAACTTTTTCAAAAAAATCTTTTACAGGATGAGTGTAAAAAATCAAATTACATCTGTACATTGTTCCTATTTCTGTTATATCGTAGACTGGGACTGCCCACTAAAACCCTGATGCCAAATGAGGCTGCACCATAAACCACCCCTAGCGATCTCTGTTCTCTCTTTACCTTTACTGTACAGAAATACAGGATTTAAATACTTGTACTATTGGGCTGCTGGCCAGACTATAACTCTGATAAAATGTATTGATTTCCACATGCATTATTACAAGCTAAAGTTACTAACAGGATCGAAGGCAAGTGGCGTGCAGAGAGAAAGCAAAATACAAACTGTGATATAGCCCTCATTAATAATTCTTTGCCCACTTATAATGTTTATATCATGCATTTCAGCAGTACATTTCTGCACTTTGGCAACACTGCGGAATATCATGTTGGAATTTACTTCGTGTTTAAAGTAAATGAATACTTAAAATGCCAACTACCAGCTGATTGGCTGATGAAGGCACATGAAAATAGACGTACAGAAGCGCATACAACTCATGACTCCATTGTTCATGTTTTTTTTAGTGTTCTGTCTGACGACAGGTCCATATGAACAGGATCCTTCCATCCTTTTCTCGGACTGGGACCTGTTCATATACGTTCTTGGCAGATGATCCAGAAGTGGTTTGCCATTGCCTTCTTCTGTGTGTGAATGGAGTAATTGTTGGGATGCCACGGAGGAAACTCCGTGTTGCCTAGACCACGGCCTTGCCCAACACAAGTTATAAATTCGGGGACCGCTGGGAATCGACCCCGAGACCCCAGGATTACAAGGCCAGCGTTCTAACCGCTAGACCACCGTGGCTGTTTATTGTTCATGTAGGTCAGTACAATGTCAATAACTTATATTGGTGTAGGTGATGGGAAACTGTTCCATAAAAGCAGCTACTGAGTTACTTAACCTCAATTAATCCTGGATTAAGCAGTAAATGTAATGCTGAAATTCAAGTTAATTTTAAATTACTGAACAACTAAATGTCTAATGAAAATAATACAAGTATTTAAACATATATTATTTAATGTTTTATAATGTTACTTCAGCCAGCTGAAGATTTATGAAGCTTGAATATAAATATTTAATTCAGTTAATACATATTATATAAACATGAAATGATATATTTATAAAGCTTGAATACTACGAATTAAATTAAACTTGAAGACTCCATTCACTATTATGGACATCTCCTGTTCCAGTACTAAATAATCTTTTGAAGGAAAAATTAATACTGAACTGATAAGAATCTAAGGAATCTTTCAGGCACAATTATTTGCAATGGTTCATTTCCATCACATTAAATAAGGAAAATTACTGAATTATCTGCTGTGCATTACAGTATCATTTATGGTTACAAAAGCTTGGAAACCAAACACAGTATTTAATCTTAATAATGTACTGCAAATATTTTTCATATGTTATTAAGTAGAAATAATAACATACAGCAGAATGATTGAATGATTAACAAAAATATTTGTAATTCAAGGTCAAATTAACAAGTCTGTAGGATTTTATAAAAATCTCCTTCTTACGAGCAAACAGAACAGCAATGTTACTCAAAACATTAAGAAAAAACACTTATCCTGTTCCTTCTTCAACATATTCTATACCGAAAGCAATTCAGTTATTGAACATAAAAATCCTACCAGACATAAGAATTTATTCTAAAAACAATTTAAAAGATGAAAGATTATTTCTTATTCCAATTATGAACAAAAACACTGATATTAAGATTCAAATATGTATAAATGTACAGGTAGGCTCCACTTTACACCGCTTCATTTTATGCTGTTTCACATTAATGCCCTTTTAAAATAATAATGAAAAAAATAAAAAAATTTTGTAAATGCAGCACAGGAAGTGGGTACCTAGGCGGCGCTAGTGTCAGCGTCAGTTGCTTTCTCCTCGTTCGCCAGTACAATACATTATAATTCTTCGATTTACGTCACTTCAGCTAACGACCTTGAGGAGGTGGAACGTAACCTCGGCATAAATCGGGGCCTACCTGTACTATGTATTTAGATATGAAAAGACCAATTCTAGTAATTGTTCAATGATATATAATAAAATATAACAGGCCGACAGACTTTTTATCACACTTTCTCTCAATATAATAGTGATATTTTGGAAATAAGATAATGTGATTTACAGTCATTACTCCCAAATATCTCTGCAGTGACTGAGGTGGAAACATAAAACAAAAAATTTAAATAAATACTGAAATTGAAACAATCAATGCAGCACACAAACAGAAGTATGTATATTATTTTTAAATATCCATCTGCCCAATGACATTAATTAATTTCATAATAATTAATATAATGAAGCTTAGTTGTCTAATTTATTTCTCATGCTTTAAAATATATAATAAAATTCAGGTCAATACACAAACTTTATTTAGATGTTAAAATTTAAAATTTAAAATTTGCGCTCATGCTTTGTTTTTTATCCTTATGTTCCAAAGTTCTAGTCATCATAAAATGCTGGCTCACCTTTGAATCTTTGAATTATAAAAAAATATCAATTCAGATCTGTTGTGAGTAGCCTCTTCACTAGGCAAAGCTAAGAAGTATTAATAAAGTATCCTGCCCATACATAATAATATGTACTGTACGCATCTCATGACTACTGAAAGACAATCATAGTAAAATGGTGTGATGTCTTTTCCATTAGCTAATATGTTTATAAATAACAATAAAATATAAATTATCAATATTAATAACATATTCTAAAAACTAATAAAAATAAGATCTATAAATTAATATATTATCCCTTTAAAATAGCTTTTTGCTTGGTTATTTATTCTTTCACCATGGGTTTTAAAGACACCTTGTTAAATTAAAGCCGTGTAATATCATAATCTTTGGTCTAGCAAGAACAAGTATATTATAGATAAAATTAACATAAATTATGCACAGTCTGTAATCTTTGAAGGCTTCTGCTAAGCTTAGGCAGATCCAGAATTCATTTCTGTGGTCGGAGATTCTGTTACCCAAGTTAAAAGGAAACTATGAAGATGACAGTCAGCAGAGCAGACCCAGAGTTTAATGTGGGCTCTAAACCATGATTTCAGCCTGGTATTCTTCAGTTACCCAAGGTTTTTGATTTAAGAAAAGTGAAGGTTTCAGTATGAGAGTAGAAAAATCCACACACATATCTGACCTGGGATTGAACCAAAACTATATGAATAACAGTCCAGTGCCTTACCCCAAGGCTACAATAAAAATAATTGGATTAATATCATAGGATAAATTCTGAAGACTGAATTCTTAATATACGGCAAGCACGGTAAAATATAAGCGTCTTACTGTTAATAACACTTAATTTATAACAAAAAATATCAGTATTACCAACACTATTCTGGGATTTCGTTACGTTTATATAAGTTAAAACAGTTTCCTATTATGAGATTAAACCATTTATCTTTTGTTACCAGTAAAATGCCACAGTTATGCCATTATGATTGTAATTTCTTCCACCAGCTACGTTGGATTCTGAGGTTTTGGGATTATTCGTAACACTTTCTCATGTTTAAATGCTATATGATAGGATATCAGTAGAATTTTATAGAAGTCAGACTTGCACAAGCATCCGATAGCAGCCAGATCAAAAGATTTTGAAAGCGCTGGATTGACTATGGAATGGTAAAATTTCATTTTTTGTAAAATCGCACATCAAAATCAGTTCCATAAATGCTGAAGTCACTCTTCTGAGCGATTAATGATGTATTGTAGTGTAATTGCCACCTAATCTTGACATTCATTGAAGTTTTTAGTTTTGGAACGTCCTCATTATTAAATGTAACTTTAGAAACAAACAAGATGACAAATCTAGAACAACTTTCCATTATATAAAAATACATACAGTAAACTCAAGATTATTTGGGCTAATGAAGGGGAGATGTATGAATATTTTATAAACACGAATGATCCAAAATATTTTGTTTCGTGTATTCATAGACCTCCCGAAGGTACTAACACCTTGTCGAAGGCAAATTTATTTTTGCCCAGTAAAGAGTGCTCAAATGACCCTGAGAGTCATGCCGACGGGAGCTTAAGCTCCTGGTAGGGCCACCCAAGCCAGACTAAGAGTGATACCATGGTCCTTCAGGTTGAGGGTTGGTGTGGGGCGAATGACCCCACCCCCCAAAAAACTACTGTTACAAAATCAAGCTGGATGAAACCAACTATGACGTCTCAGCAAGACAATGGACATATGAGTGGGGTCACTACAGAAGACGAGGTGGATAGGACAGAATATAATGGAGAATAAAACATATATTATAGTTACCACAAAAAGCTACACCAATTTGGAATAGGGTTTATAGTAAATAAGAGAGTAAGGCACATGGTAACTGATTTTCGACCTATTGACGAAAGAATATGTGTGGTAATAATAAAAGGAAAATTCTACAACTACAGCCTCATATGTGCACATGCACCAACCAAAGAAAGAATTGAGGGTGAAAAGGATTATATGACCACCTGGAAAGAGCTTACGAAAGCTGCCCTGCTAGTGATGTCAAATTACTCCTCAGAGACATCAATGCAAGGATAGAGAAGGAAGAACATGGAACTGCAACAGTAATTGGAACGCACAATCTACACGAGATCAGTTAAAATGGATTGAGGCTCATAAATTATGCAGAATCCCTAGACATGACTGTTATTGGAAGCACACAATTTCCACACAAGAGAATACATAAAATAACATGGAAGCCACCAGATGGGAGTAATATGAATCAAATTGATCATATAGTAATCAATGCAAGGCACAAATCAAATTTGCTTGACGTGCGAAGTTACAGAGGAGCGAATGTGGACTCAGACCATTTGGTGTAACTGCCAAACTAAGGCCCAGAATGTGGGATGAGCAAAAATTGAGAATCTTTGAGAGGACAGTATCAAGGTGAATTTATGGGCCAACAAGAGAAAAGGAAGGAATTAAGCGAATTAAGTACAACTGACAGCTGTATGACATATAAAGCCCCTGAAATAGTGAAGACTGTCAAATTGGACAGGCTCAGGTGGCTTGGACACCTAACCAGAGAAAACAAAGTATCTCCATGTAGGAAACTAACCTTTTCCAAGCCCAAAGGCACAAGGAAGGCTAGGTGACCCAGTTTAAGGCAGATGATTGGTGTAGAGAAAGATCTCGGAATCCTTAGGGTACAAGGATGGAAAAAAAGGTGCTGGACAGGAACCTATTGGGATCACGGTGCAGGTTGAGAACCATACAGGGTTGTAGCACCTTCAAAGAAGTATTCACAGAAATTTAGAAATTACTCTTTTTCTTTTACATAACTGACGTTTATGTTGAAACAGTCTGAAATGACTGCATGTTTTTGTAAATTATTGGTCTCCTACTCACAGCAGTAGGAACTTCATTCTGCCTTCTGTTTCGCAACAACATTGACAATGTCTGTCCGTCATGTGCCAGAAGCCCATTTCACACGCATCACTCTGCAGCCATTATACAATTTTATCTTCGCCCACGTTCTCAAAACTTCTCGTAGCACATACCACGTCAAGAATTTAAGATTTTCTGATTCTGTCATTAGGAAAATCTTGCAAATAATCTTATTCTAGATCTGGAACAAGTTTCCTTCACAATGGAACCAGTGTTACTGAATTCATGGAAGACCATGCATGAGATAAGCAGTATATAGCATCCAACACCATAATATCTTTCCATAAAGTTGTTATGTTGATGAGTTCTGAAGTAGTGAATATATCTCTCAATCATCACCCCATAATCTTTCTGCCAACAATTCAACATTCTTAAATTTTTCAAGTAACTCTATCCTTTGTTTTCCTTTCAGTACGACTTTGTTACGATTTTCAGGCATCGAATATAAGATCCACAGGTGTTAAATACTAATTTTAACCTATCTGATATACAGAACAAAACAATGAAATTCACTGCAAGACCCTAATGTGTGAAAAAGAAACCAAGCACACTTGTGACATCTCCTCTCTCCACACCATGACCACTAGAAAAAACTTTCCAACTCCCAACGAAAGATATTGAACATTAAGTACCCAAAGAAAAAAAGAAAGGCATTGTTCGACCACATCTTCTGTAGACCCTCCCAAAGAAAAAGGCATTCACAGAATCATACACGGATAATCTGTAAAACCAGATAATCAGGAGTTTACTGTAATGATTAATAACTCCCCGTGTAACTGAACCAGTCTTTTTATGACAGGTATACACACTACAGTACTGGATCATGGCATGTATATTACATCACTGATAAAACCTATAGAATATGTCTTTGTAAATTTAAAAATCACAATATCAAAGGAAATTCCAATCACAAAAATTATTAAAAATTCTTTTAGACTGCAATTTCTCATGCAATCACATCAACACTATCTTCAAGAACATTAGTTTCATGAGGAAAGCTGTGAACTATAAATATTGTTCCCCCTCACAAGAAAAGGGTGGTCTTAAATCTGTTCTGATTTCAGAACTGAATTCATTATTGCTCCCCCTCAAAAATTAAGGGCTAAATCAGCATGCTAAAAACATTCACAGGTCCTTATCATGCTGCAGCGTGAATTAAAGTAAACTGCAAGCATGTAAGATCTTAACTCGGATCAACGTAAAAACTTCCGTCAGAGACTTATAGTGTATGTAGCAGTTTTGACAAAACCTTGTACCTCATATTTCTCTCTAAATAATCCCAAAACCTTCGTATTTAAATAAAAATGCTATTAGGACTTACTTCGGATTGTTTCATATCCAGCATCATTCATAAAATGACCTATTTAAAATTCTTACACTTATCAATTTATAGTTACTGTGCGCTGATATGAATCTCCCTCGCCTGTCAGAGCACTCCTAAGAATGATCTGCTCAGGGCTGGTGATGAGATGATCATCCTCACTGTCTCTCCTTCCTCCGTTACCATGTTCCTGTTTGTCGGTTAGATCAGCTTCTTTCATCCACTCCTCTATCTCTGCTCTATACATCCGTCTTTGCAACACCTCACGGTTCCTCGGCCTGCACCCAATGAAGGTCGCTGTCCCCTGCGAGAACAGTAAGTAGATTCTCACATCCAGTCTCTTGCAAACACACTTTGCAAGAAGAATTCCAAACGAAACGCATTTCTTGAACCTTTTCATCCCTTTCCAGCTCAGAAGTGATGCAGCACAAGTAATGTATCATAAATGACAGTAACAAACTACATTAAAGTAAAGTAAAAATTATTAAAAATCATCAGGCCACCAAAAACATAAGTAAAGTAAAGTTTGTCCCACTATACGCCATGTAGGCGCTTGAGGTGAGAGGAGGTATAGCTCCTCTCTTCCTTGACCTCAGCACTAGATGGGGGTGAGTGGTCAGCATCACGCCCCGGCCGGCTTTACCCCCGGAAAAACATAACTTTCATTAATTAATTAATTCACTCATTAATATACAGGCAACTCTCGATTTAAGAACGAGGTCCGTCCCGAGATGTTGTTCGTTATACGTTTTTGTACGTTATGTGTATCTTGCATTCCTGAGCTTTTACAATATGTATCGTATACATTAGCAGCCATTTTAAAGAATTAAAATCATGTACTACACATCGAATGGTCTATACAATACACTTTATTATAATGTATGTATGCATTATGCGAGAAAACATTCTATGCAGTGTGGCATGTAAACCAAGGTTTTTTAACAGGCTAGATTAGTTTTATTAACCAAGAACAGTTCAGTATAATTATCATACAATAACTTTCTGGTAATTATTGTAATACATTTTTTAAAAGTTTATTTATTTGAATCTAACAATTATGCTCACTATACGTTTGGCATTTCTATTGGTGACTTTAAGAAATTTTGAATGAATTGTGACTTTCATTATAGCGAATGTTCATAAACCGTGAGTTGCCTGTACATATAACATCAAATTCCCATTTAAAATGTGTGTAATTCCATGTACGTAGAATGAAAGCATCCACATGTGATTGTTTCAAGTGTTATTGAGTTTGATCAATGCAGTTAGTGCTTACCCCAACAACAAGATTGGCTCTCAATTTTTCCAGGAGCTGGAAATCTTGTACCCACACTTGCATTTCTTCCCACTTGAGATCCACTTCCTCGTGCAGCATCTGTTCCTCTGTTAACCAAACAAACATGAGCTTTAATTATGCTCTGAAATGTAGACAGTATGAAAAATAAAACATTTTAATATCATTCATCTGAATAATTTATAATGAATAGAAACACAATTTAAATTTAAATTAGGAGGTCCCAAAATTGTAATAAACTAAACTAAGGACTAAACGTTATGGTGAATGGAGAGTAATGCATTGTAATTAAATTCATATTTGATATGTTCCAAAGATTTTGTTCTTTAAATTACATTTTACCCTGGCAAACTGCTACTGGATACCAAATGGTATGTTGTTTTAGTCTGTAAACTGTATTCGCATTAGTTTTTAAGGCGTCCAGAGACAGGGTCATCTGTACTCATTTGGTTTTCACTTCCACTTTACAAATGTGTTATCACAGTTTATGTGTTACTCCTTCTCATAAGCAAGCTCTCACTCGATTATGAAGTTTATACAGAAAACAATGTGTAGAAAAATCACACGAATAACTTGCAAGCACAGACATAGGTACTTGAAAATCTGCTACATTCCTTTGTTCTTGCTACTCTTGTATGACTGACTGCACGCAATCGATATAGCAGAAAACCTGTAAATAATTACTTCCATCCCAACCAAAATCCTTTGCTCAAAGGACATGTTGCCTAATGGGATAACCTCTCATCAGCAGCAACAGACCCAACTTTGAATAGTCGAGGCTCCCGCCACGACAAAACCCCCGTTAGCGTAAGCATGTTAGCGTAAGCAATCTCCCGTTTTAGTTTTAAGGCTGTTTACCATTTCCAGCAATGCTTTTCGTACGAAGGGATGGTGTTACCTAACAAGGGATGATGTCTTGCGCTTGCGCAGGACTCCGCCCTTAGTTAGATTTCTCGTTGGTTACTTCCATTTTGTTTTTCACATCAATGAAAGCTATTTTCAACTTGACTCTGAAATTTCCTGTGCTCTCAATTCCATTCTTATTTTGCTTCAAACATGAGTTTGCCTTAATACTGTATCATTCAACTAAGAAACAACAATATATTTATTATTTCCATTATATCACAGCATCCTGTTATATAATAATCAGTAAGGTGATATTAATGACAGGAAAAATATTTTACTTCATTATTTTTCCATTGTTTCGTCATCTGTGTATCAGATTTTACCACCAGTTACAGAAACCAGTGGAGGACCCTAGGAAATTAAACAAAGATGTGTGGTTTATATTAAGGCAAGATGATTGATGGTATCTTACTAGCTCATAAAATATTGAAAAAGATACATGAGGACATGCCACATTATATGAGCAGTTAATGGTTTCCTTCTGTAGGATTTTAGCTTTTCACAACAGTGAGTCTGAAGATTGCTGTCTTCTGGATTGTTGGGCCGTGTAGTCTGGTAGATGTTTACCGACGTTTCAGGCAAGGACCTCTGAAACGTCGGTAAACATCTACCAGACTACACGGCGCAACAACACAGAACGCAGCAATATTCGGTTTCCTTCTGATTGAAAATATCTATACGTGTTAAACCTGCAAAGACAGGTACATACATAAGATATCATAACCTCAATGTGATATTTGAAACCTAGTTTCTGAAATCTTACCTTCACGTTTGCTTGTCTGTCTTTTGTACTGAATCCGGAATCGGAATGCTTCAAGTACGGATGCTACCACTATTGTTAAAACAATCATAGTAAAGAGATAAAAGAGCATAAAATATGCTCTACTCCAAGACGACACCACTAACGCATAGCTGTTCATGAGTATGAACCAATTGTTGACAATCGTCAACTCAAATAATGTTATGCCGCCAGTCAACAGATTGTCAAAAGTGTTCAGGTAGTAGTAGCCAAGAGCCGTACTTCCATTCGCGCTGTACTTGTAAAAGTCTTCCACTGTTGAGTTCCTGGATAAAAACACACAAGAACTGTCAGTCACCATGAGACAGCAAAATAACTTACGTATTACACCAAGAGTATAATCTATTGTATAATACTCTACAATCAGGTATGAAAGAGAGAGAAGATTCAAACACAGAAGATATTCTATGCTACCAGATTTCTAATGGATTGTAAAATAACTAGGAGCATTCACATCCTGTTACTGGATCAGCTCTGAGATGGACCAACAACTTACAGAATCATTAATTTCATTCTGAAATCAGAAATCTGAGTTCATGGCTACTGAACATGGATATATCTTTAAAAAAACCTTTCCTGTTCATTAAGCTACAGACCCAGATAATGCTAATGAGGAAATATACATAGCCTGGTTTAGATTTTCTTCCCCAAAAAATATGTAGCTTCTTACAGTTTTTGTCAGCGTCTTAATTCCAGAAGATGGCTTGTCTTCTGGGTTGTTGAGCTACGTAGTCTTGTACAAGTTTACTGACGTTTCAGAGGTCCTTGCTGCCTCCATCATGATAAAGACAGCAAAGACCTCTGAAACGTCAGTAAACTTGACAGACTATGTGATGCAACAACCCAGAAGACAGCCATAATAAGACTCACCACAGTGAAAACCTCAAATCCTACTTATTATAGGTCCATTTATGATATGAATGATCTGAAATAAAATAGCTTAGGTTCACTAAAAATCTCTGTTAACACAATACTTCAAAATCTAAATTTTTCCTCATTGAAACCTATACTATAAGAAACATTTAACATGTTAACTTCTCATGACCTCCCCTTTTGTGTTTACAAAAAATAAAAAAAATGAATACACATCTTTATGATAGGTGTACAGATATAATTAATTGGTACAGAGGAGATTATGAGCCGGGATAGCTCAGTCAGTATAGTGACTAGCTACGGGCTGGATGACCGGGGTTCAATCCCCGACGGGGGCAGAGGATTTCTCCTCTAGCCTCTGCGTCCAGATCTAGTGCTGAGGTCAAGGAAGGGAGGAGCTATACCTCCACTCACCCCCAAACGCCTACATGGCGTATAGCGGGAAAAACTTTACTTTACAGAGGAGATTACATATTTTTTGGATAAAATTTGTGTAGTGTACTTTCATTATACTAAATTCATGTTACAAGCTCATAACATAAGTTACTTACACGCAACAGTTCCGCATGTCATAGCCCGCAAACAGCTCCATGCCAATGATGGCAAAAAAGTAGTACAGAACAAGCATGACGACTGCAGTGGAACACATAAGCGGTGTCAGAAGAACTAGAGTCCCAAACACGTCCCTGTAACGTTTCTTCAGCTTGAATAGCCGCAGTAGTCGAAGAGGGCGGAATACCACAACATACACAAATGACGGTATAAAGGAAAGAATAATCACTCCAACTGCAGAGAGCAGTGTCACGGAAAAGTCGTATATGTTCCATCCAGACCCGAAGTAGTGACCAACGCCAAGACCAAGAATTTTCAGGACCGCTTCAACAACAAACACTGGAACAATGCGATAAGTGCAAGCAACAATTAAATAAATGCACTCTAGTTCAATGATCACTTGATCAAAGATATAAATAAATGAGTGAGTGGGTATGTGATACGTCAACAAATTTTTAAAACAATTTCACTTCCATATTTAAACTAAATATGTGATCTTAATTATAGATGCAATTTTTTTTATTTGTAGTGTTCTGTCTGAGGACAGGTCCATATGAACAGGATCCTTCCATCCTTTTCTCGGACTGGGACCTGTTCATATACGTTCTTGGCAGATGATCCAGAAGTGGTTTGCCATTGCCTTCTTCTGCGTGTGAAAGGAGTAATTGTTGGGATGCCACG